AACTTCAAACGCACAGCAGGCGTCAGGTTTGGCATCGAAGCCACGACCTCCTGCACACCAGGCGAGGTAGTTAACATCTCGCCACCGTGGCGCACCTGAAGAAGCGAGGCCGCTGTTGATAACCCCCCCCCCACCCCGCCCGCACCTCCGATTAGCACGGCTCGCTACGTATGGTGTGAAAGAAGTTCAACATACATCGGTGCATACATTGATAACCACCAAAAAAAAAACCTCGACCAGTATTGCTTTTGATATTAACTGGGAGAAAATCCAATTGTTTTACTCACGTGGGAGTGGGGAGGTTTCGGGTCGAGGCGGTTGTCAGCTGGTACAACAGTGCCGCCACGTGGTAACTATTTGTAGCAGCAGCAGAAACGTCCATCCCCTCTCTCTATCTGTATTATCCATCATCTCTCTCTATTATCCATCCCCTCTCTCTCTCTACTATCCATCATCTCTCTCTCTCTCTTCTGGGGGCAAAACGGTCTTCAAAGGTCGTTCCAGAGGGGCAGAGAGAACGAGAGAGAGAGGGAGAGACGCAGGCTGCGGCGTGGAAGCCGTGCAGGAGAAATTTCGAATTTTTCACGGAGGAGAGTTGAGGCGGCTGGGTGGGGGGGAGTGGGGGTCAGCGCCACGTGACCACGACAAAACGCACCGATACGCAACGGCAGGCGAATGTATTGTGATGAACATTTATTGTTGTGCACTCTTCTGAGAGTCCCCTAGTCCAATAATGCCTTGGCAACACGGAGCAAGCCGCCAAAGCACACGCGCGAAATACGCCTCTATCGCATCCAGAAGGAGGCGATAGAAGCAGATCATCAGCGAGAACCACGTTGAAACAAGGCAGCACTCGATCCTTCAATGATAACGCAATCGTCGTCATCATCAATAAGCGCACACGCCCGTGCAGTAGAATACACATCATCGTAGTCAGTCATGTATTTTTTTTTTAAGTACTGTAATTAGGCAAATATCATTAAACAGAGAGGTCGATACAACACGAGGCCGTGGGACCTTTTATTTTGTTGCTAATATCAAAGTATGAAAAAGAACAGGAATGGGTTTTACCCTGGCAAGAAGGTGGTGTAGTTTAACATGTAGGAGGCTTTCGCGACCAATATTATCCATATTAGAGGTTGTTTTGGGTTAGATCGCGTAAATGTATAAATGTGTCGTGAAAACCCGCCACCACCCGACACAGCCAACTAGTAAGGGTTGTCACGTAAACAGAACGTGGCCAATTCGTCACTAGTACAGCGCACCGGTGTGTTGGAGAGCCAAGCCACAACATCTACAATCTGAGTACGACGTTTCGCCAGTAATTACAACCAGCTTCATCAGGCGATAGCCAGTTGGCTGTGTCGGGTGGTGGCGGGTTTTAACGACACATTTATATATTTACGCGATCTAATGGGGCCGTCCATAAATGACGTCACGCACCTAGAGGGGGGGGGGGGTCAGACATTTGTGACGATGTGTTGACGAGGGGGGGGGGGGGGGGTTGAGAAATTTGAAGTCACATCAAAATGAGCAACTTTAAATAAATATAGACAACACGTTCTACTTAATTAAATATACTCTTTAATAAATGTTTTCTCCTACAACATCAGAGTGCAGCGCCACAATAAATATGCACTACAGTGACAATAATTTTAAACGATTTGAAGCATGTTTTTTTGTGGGGGGGGGGGGGGGGGCAGAGTTTTGTGACGTCATATTTGAGGGGAGGCTCTCACTTTTTGTGACGCCGTGTGACGAAGTGGGGGGGGGGGGTGCAAAAATTGCCCAAAATCGCGTGACGTCATTTATGGACGGCCCCTAACCCCCCAAAAAACCTCTATGGATGATATTGGTCGCGCAAGCCTCCTACGTGTTAAACTCTGGGCGTGTCTGTTTGCATGTTAAACACAAATACTGTGCATGTGTGGTTAATGCAGACACTTGCTTCCTTCAGTTTAACACGTAGGCTTTCGCGACCAATATTATTCATAATAAAGGTTTTTGGGTTAGATCGCGTTTATTTATAAATGTGTCGTAACCCTCCACCACCCGACACGGCCAATCAGCAAAAAAAAAGTGTCACGTTGACAAAAGACAAATAATTCACTACTTTAGCCCACCGGTGTGTTGAAGAGTGAATCCACAACATTTACAGTTTGAGTACGACGTTTCGCTGGTAAATACATCCAGCATCATCGGGCAATTCGCCAGAATGGTAAAGCTCTCGCTTGCTCCCGGTTTTATATAGAGCAGCAGGGTGACGTCATCACTTAACTCATATCAGGTGCAGTGATTAGAGGCGGAGGGGGGGTATTGTAATTATATAATCGATTAGTAATCAGTCATTGGTTATGATTAGTAATGAGTTGTAGATTAGTAATTCTTTAAATCAAAATGTAATGTGTATTATTTAATAATACGCTTCCAGGCCGCACTAAGCCTGTAGCTGTCAGAGCGATTAAAGTTATTCTTGTTCCTGATTGGCCGTGTCGGGTGGTGGAGGGTTACGACACATTTATAAATAAACGCGATCTAACCCAAAAACCTTTATTATGAATAATATTGGTCGCGAAAGCCTACGTGTTAAACTGACACATTTATATATTTACGCGATCTAATGGGGCCGTCCATAAATGACGTCACACACCTAGGGGGGGGGGGTCAGACATTTGTGACGATGTGTTGACGAGGGGGGGCGGTTGAGAAATGTGACGTCACATCAAAATGAGCAACTTTAAATAAATATAGACAACACGTTCTACTTAATTAAATTTACTTTTTAATAAATGTTTTCTCCTACAACATCAGAGTGCAGCGCCACATTAAATACGCACTACAATGACAATAGTTTAAAGAGATTTGAAGCATGTTTTTTTTTGGGGGGGGAGGGGAGGCAGAGCTTTGTGACGTCATATTTGAGGGGAGGGTCTCACTTTTTGTGACGCCGTGTGACGAAGTGGGGGGGGGGGGTGCAAAAATTGTCCAAAATCGCGTGACGTCATTTATGGACGGCCCCTAACCCCCCAAAAAACCTCTATGGATGATATTGGTCGTGCAAGCCTCCTACGTGTTAAACTCTGGGCGTGTCTGTTTGCATGTTCAACACAAATACTGTGCATGTGTGGTTAATGCAGACACTTGGTTCCTTGCAACAGGTTTGGTGTTTGAACACCTCGGCCGTGGTAGATCACTGTTATAATTCAGTAGGCTCACATGACATTGACGTCTCCAAGACAGAGGTTCTTTGCAAGCCATCTGGCTACCATGAGAGATTCGTTCATGAGGCTATCCACATATACAAAACACAGAGACAATTTCATCCGAGAAGATGGATTCTGGTTTAGCAATCATTGGAAGGATTTGATAAACCATTTCGGGTCTTAATTGATTGTTCACGCTTACGGTGGCTTTCAGACAGCATACATTAATTTTTCGTCTCCCCCCCCCCCTCTTTTCCGAACATATATGGACTAGTCCATCTAAACAAACTGTCAAATCGCTATCCGTGGTGCTAACGTTAAAAAATAAATACAAACCGCCACTTCTTTCAAATGTTCTTGCCGTTGGTTTTCACACCCGATTTCGACTGCTCGTGTTGCAGTCGAAACGTCGTGAGAATTTTATTGTTTTATATATTTTTTATTATTTTATTGTTTCCCTTCAACGTGACTTTACCAAAAGAACCAAGAATATCTTAACAGCCGTTTCATTGCCAGAAAGGGTCAAACCTATTCTTTTGTTTTCATACCAGCACGAAAGGTCTCATGTTGTAGCTACTCACCCCGAGCTATAAATGCCCTGACAGTGGCGTTGTCTTTGTGCTGTTCGCCTTTTGGCGTTCTCTGGCCTAACGCTGGTGGTGAGACAAGGCCCTTAGAGAAGGCTGCCGTCTCTGGTGTGGACCAATACGTTTCACAGACAATGCCAGATCTTACCAGAGCATGTGGTTTTGTTTGCATGTTCACCACAGGTAGTACTGTGTTTATGGTTAATGCAGTGACGAGATTCCTTGCAAAAGGCTTCTGTTTGGTGTTTGAACATCTCAACCACCTGTTGTATTTCATACAGCACTAGGCATTAGTGTTAAATAATCATCATCATCATCACCTGCACCTGGTTTATCATCATTATCGTGATACGGTTCGTTAGTATAAACAGCACATTCAGCACAAGTATATTCATGGTTTTCAGTTTTCATTACAATATATTTTGAGACGTGTGTTTTTTTAATATATATTATATGTTACATATATTTAGAAAGAATTTAAATGGAATAGTGATTCACATGTTAAGATTGTCTCTCACCCTCACTCATAACGCCATTAAATCATTCAATTATCCAAGCGTGCACTCACTCGCATATTCACTCAATCACCCGCTCACTCAGACCCTAATCCACTCACTTACCTGCTAACTGAATTACTCACCTAACCGCTTATACACATACCAACTCACTTACACACTCATCAACTCACTTACCACACGTCCACCCATTCGTCACGTAACCACATATTCACTCAGCACCTTACTCAGGCTCGTATCCACTCACTTACCTGTGTTTTACATTCACCTATTATTTCACTCGTTTACTTACTCATCCATCCACTCACTCTGCCACTCACTCACTCACCCACCCATCCGCCTACCCATCCACCCACCCACTCACCCACCCACACTCACCCACTCACTCTTCGCACCCACTCACTAGTCCACCCCGTGCGTCACAGCTTGGAGGAGCTCATCCATTCGCTCACCCACCCGCTCATCCAACAACTCACCCACCAATCCTCCCACTCACACACTCACCTACCCACTCACCTACTCACGCACTCACCTACCCACTCACTCACCCACCAATCCTCCCACTCACACACTCACCTACCCACTCACCTACCCACTCACTCACCTACCCACTCACCTACCCACTCACTCACCCACCATTCCTCCCACTCACACACTCACCTACCCACCCACCTACTCACGCACTCACCTACCCACTCACCTACCCACTCACTCACGCACTCCGCGCGTCAGAGCTCGGAGGTGCTGCGCCTGCGCTGCGCGGGATCTCCCCCGGGCAGCTCCAGCTGGATCACGTGCACAGTGGGGCTCGGCACCAGGCGCTCGGGTTCCCGCTCGGAACGCGACGCGGCGTGGGGTGGCCGGGAGAGTTCGCGGGCGGCCGCCAGCCCCTCGTCGTCATCCCGGGGGGCCTGCGACTCCGAGTCCGCGGGCGACTCCGAAGCGCCACGAGTCGGACGCTCCGAGTCCGGGCACAGCAGGAAGCGGTAGGCGGCTCCCGCCACCACGGCGCCCACCGTGGGGCCAACCCAGTAGACCTTGGGTCAGAGAGACCGATAGAGAGAGACGGAGGTGGGGTGGGGGGAGCAGAGAGACAGAGACGTTGAGAGAGGGGAGAGGCAGAGAGAGACGGAGATGAGGGTGGGGGGAGCAGGGAGACAGAGATGTTGAGAGAGGGGGGAGGCAGAGAGAGACGGAGGTGGGGTGGGGGGAGCAGAGAGACAGAAACGTTGAGAGAGGGGAGAGGCAGAGAGAGACAGAGATGAGGGTGGGGGGGGGGGGGCAGAGAGACAGAAACGTGGAGAGAGGGGGGAGGCAGAGAGAGAGAGACGTTGAGAGGGAGGGGGGGTTAGAGAGAGAGAGAGACAGAGATGAGGGTGGGGGGAGCAGGGAGACAGAGACGTTGAGAGAGGGGGGAGGCAGAGAGAGACGGAGATGAGGAAGAGGGAGTAGAGAGACAGAGACGTTGAGAGAGGGGGGAGGCAGAGAGAGACAGAGATGAGGGTGGGGGGAGCAGAGAGACAGAGACGTTGAGAGGGGGGGTTAGAGAGAGAAACAGAGATGAGGGTGAAGGGAGCAGAGAGACAGACGTTGAGGGAGGGGGGGGGGAATGAGATAGAGGGGGGGGTGGGCAGAGAGACAGAAACGGTAAGAAAGAGACGAAGCAGAGAGAGGGACAGAGATGGGGGAGGAGTGGTTGGAGGCAGCTCTATTCTGCACAGCGTTACGCCGCCCGAGACAAAGATCCGCCGTATCGCTTCTTACAGCTGTTGGGGCAAGTGCTGTTAGCGAGTAGCACGTGCCTACACGGCACACGAGGGCATGGGCGGCCAGTACCTCGCCCGACCGCCTTTGTCTCCCTCGTGGCAATTTTACACACCACACCAGGTACTCATTTGAGGCTGAGTCTACCTAGGGGAGGCCCAGGACCGGTTAAGATAATCATCACTGGTGTTGGCCGTGAGCGAGACTCGAACTCGGGACGCCGGGTTCGTAGCGCAGTGCGCTAACCCCTACACTAGCGCTCCCCACATACAACAAACACAAATATAATATTGGGTCTTTCAGTAAAGTCACGTATATAGGTTCAAATAAAACTACGACGTTTTGATCGCAACACAAGCAATCGATTGCTTGTATCGCGATCGAAACGTCGTAGTTTTTTGTTATTTTATTTGAATCTATCTACGTGACTTTACCGAAAGACCCAAGAATATGATTTCCTGCAGTCACGAAAGCTTTAAGTCAAGAACAAACACAAAGATTCCCCGTATAGCCTTTAGGGGCAAGTGCTGTGAGCGAGAACTTATCAAGGATGCGTACACGACACACGCCCATGTCAAATCACCCCCATTCGAGGAATGGACTAACCCAGTGGTCATCGAAGCTTCCCATGACGAGGGCCGGTCCCAATGAGCGCGCGGGGTTCATGGAGGCGCCCGTGTACGGGATCTGGGCGTCAGGGGCACACACGCACGGGAGGACGAGGGGTGGTCAGCAGGGAGGTGTTGGCAACCCCTGTCAATCACAAGAGGTCCATTTCCCGAAACGTCACCACACGCCACGGTGGCTAGAAGATGTTAACTACCTCGCCTGGTATGCAGGAGGTCGTGGGTTCGATCCCGACCATGACGCCTGCTGCTGTATATTTGGAGTTTGCGTGTCTCTCTCTCATCATCATCACGGTGGCTAGGAGATGTTAACTACCTCGCCTGGTGTGCAGGAGGTCGTGGGTTCGATCCCGACCCTGACGCCTGCTGCTGTATTTTTGGAGTTTGCGTGTCTCTCTCTCTCTCTCTCCCCCCGTGGTCGCGTGGATTTTTCTCCGGGTTCTCCGGTTTTTCCCCTCCACATTTTAGAATTAACATCGTCACGCGTTTAGAGGATTTGGCTGCTACAGATTTCCACGTGGTGGCCATAATCCACTTGGTTGAGCTATCATTTGTGGCCAAGTCGAGTCTGAAAAAGAGCAACATAGCTCAGTAGGACCTCACCTGGTCAAATAAAAAAATAGTTAGGAGTCATCTTTACCTGAGTTTAACACTGGCCTTGAAACACGTTAATTGCTTGTTCTTTCCGTCAATATTTTATACGTAAACATGATTATTCATATCTATTTTTGCTTCTTCATTTTTCAGATGACATTTAAAAATGGAAATGAAATTGACTGAATTGAGACAACGTTATTGATGAATGTACGTCTGCAATCGTAAAACGATTTCCTACTTAATTAAAGTCCTAAAAGATAATGAATTCATGCAACAACCAAAATATAATTAACTTTAACAGGCGTCAGTCGGAACACTTGTTCAAGGAAATAAAATAACCTCAACGTGATAAGTTAAAACATATATAATATCATATATATCCCTACGTGGTCCTGACTTTTGGGCCAAGCTGTAAATCAACTTGGTGCTGTTTGTTGCTGGCTGCCTGACGTGTTGGAGCTTTTTTCGGGGTGGGGGGGCTGGGGGGTGGGGGGCTGCGGGGGTGGGAGGGCTGGGGGGTGGGGGGGGGGCTTGGGCGGCTTGGAGGGTTGTGGTTGGGGGGCTGGGGAATGGGGGGGGGCTGGGGGGGCTATGGGGGCTTGGGAGCTTTGGGAGTTGGGGTTGGGGTGGGGGGGCTGGGTTGGGGTGGGGGGGGCTGGGGGGTTGGGGGGTGGCTGCGGGGTTGTGGGGGCTGGGGGGGGTTTGGAGCCTGGAGGGGGGTGGGGGGTAGGTGGCTGGGGGGGGCTGTGGGGGGTTGGGGAGTGGGGGGGGGGCTGGAGGGGTTTGTGGGGGGCTGGAGGGGTGTGTGGAGGGCTGGGGTACAGCGAAGAGGTGCCCCGCGGTGACGCTGAGGCCGATGGCGAGAGGCCCCGACGAGGAGTCGCGGCGCCGCGCGTCGCTAGCGGAGCAGACGGCGAGGGCGGGCAGCAGAATGACGGCCGCCTCGACGAGGAAGGCGCGGCCCAGACCCAGACCCTCCCTCACCTGGGCGGGGGGAAGGACGTGGTGGTGGTGGTGGTGTTGGTGTGTGTGTGTGACATCGATGTGTTGTCCTTACCCCGAACCCGGCGGCCCGAGTTCGACTCCCGCTCGCGGCCGCCAACGACAGTGACGATTGTCTGAGCCGCTCCTGGGTGTCCCCTAGGTCGACTCGGCCTCAAATGAGTACCTGGTGCGGTGTTCAAAACCATCGCCATTCGGGAGACAAAGGCGGCCGGGCGTGGTGCTGGCCACCGGCCCCCCTCGTGTGCCGTGCCCGGCCTTCAAAGGTGCTGCTCGCTAACAGCGCTTGGCCCTACAGTCTGTTGGAGGCTACACGGGGGATCTTTGTTACCATTACTCTCACCACAGCTAATAATGACCCACCCGCACTGGACATCTGTGAAAAAAGAGCTTCATAGCTCACCGGATTTCTCTAGCCATAACAGAACAATATCGACCTGATTCTCATACGCAACCGCGACGAGAATATTCAGGCTGGGCCGGGGCGAATGAATTAGCGTGACACACAAACATTTTACATTCGTCGAGAAATCCTTCTTTTAGAACACGCGCAACACCGACGAGACCTCACCCGCGTGACCCCCAGTGACCCGCGGAACTCCTCGGGAGTGACGGCCACGAGAAGCCCCGCGCCCAACGTAGCCCCGAGGCACTGGGCGACCACGTAGAGAGCAGCTTTGGCGAGCGTCGTCCTGCGCGCCACGAGCATCGCGGCCGTGACGGCCGGGTTGAGGTGCGCCCCGCTCACGTGCCCGAAGCAGTGGACGGCCGTGGCGAGTGAGAGGCCGAAGGCGAGCGAGGTGTGGGTCACCCCGGGGGCACGGTCGGAGCCGGCCCAGGCAACGAGGGAACCGAGGGAGAGCAGCAGGAAGAGGGCGGTGCCCGCGAGCTCCGACGCGAGGGCGCGGAGGAAGGGGCGCGCGAAGACGCCGCGGAGGGCGGTCATGGCCGAGGCTCGGCCCGGCGGCTTGCGGCAGCAGCAGCTGCTGACGGGGAGCGGTGGCGCGGTGGTTAGCGCTACGCTGCGCCACGAACACCGGCGCCCCAGGTCGACTCAGCCTCAAATGAGTAGCTGGTGCGATGTGATAAACATCGCCACTGGGAAGACGAAGGCGGTCGGGCGTGGTGCTGGACACCCACCCCCTCGTGTGCCGTGCCGGCCTTCATAGGCCCTACTCGCTAACAGCACTTGCCTCTACAGTCTGTTGAGGCTAGACGGGGGATCTTTGTCTTTGGTGGTGATGATGATGGGAGTGCGGTTAATGATGATGATAACGATAATTATGGAAAAGATAATGATGATTGATGATAACGATGGTCAAGTCTAATTTATTTTTGGTTAGAACATGTGTGCCGTCCGGTCTGGCGTAAATCTGCCACCAAAATCCGCATCTTCACATCGTTACACACATTAACATAAAACAATTATTTTATACAGTTAAAAAAAGTTAAAAGCAAGTTGTGGCTCTGAGTTAGGGTGTCCGTTATGATGATGGTTATGATAATTATTAGTTCTGATTGGGATTCTTTTTTTATTGCATTCGCGGCATTTGTCCGCGTGACGGAGGTGATTCGTTTGGCGCAGCTCAAGAAAGTAGCTATTCGCCGTCCGCTCAGAAATCGCGCTGTAACGGGCGCGTTACAACGGGCGACGCGCGTTCACGAACGGCAGAATCGCGTTGTGCGAACACCGCACGTGAGTCGAGGACTAACCCTATTTATACAATACGTCGATTAAAAAAAAAGCACTCGCTAAGTGACACAAGGTGGTTGGCATAGCTCCCTGCCAACGACTTGACACACCGAGACGGCGATTCTCCTACTTAAGGAGTGACCTTACCCGGGATGGAGAAGACGAAATAGGTTCCTGCAAAGATCACAGGTCATCGCAGTTGAGGATAGATCCTCCTCCTCCTCCTCGTTCGGATCTGTACTGACCCCGAATCAACGACAACAACATCATTATCATCATCATGTCCAAATGCGCCCACCGTTTCGGGAGCACATCACGCATCTGCTCTCCCGTCTCTGCACTGGCTACCACTCAAGTTTCGAGTGGACTGTGAATATCCTGCTAACCGCTGACCTACAAGGTACTCGATGTGGTTAGCCCCGCAGTATCTGCAGGAACTGATCCACGTTCATTCTCCAACGAGGTCCCTGATCTCTTCGGATCACCTTCTTCTAAGGACTTAGAGGTCAAGGGCTCTGTTCCTGTGTATGATGGGGACTTTTTTGCCAGTGCAGCCTCCCAAGCTTTGGAACAACGCTTTGCCCTTGCTAATAAGACAATCAGAGTCGTTATAGATATTAAAGTCCCGTCTTGAAAGCTCACCTCTTTAAACTGGCCTCCATCCCCTAGTTCTGGCCATTCACCCTGGTTCTGAGTGAGTCCGTGGGTTGGTGAGTGAGTGGGTAGGTGAGTGAGTGTGTGGGTGAGGGAGTGAGTAGTTAAGTGGCTGAGTGGGTGGGTGGGGGAGTGGGTGAGCGGGTGAGTGAGTGGATGAGTGAGTGAGTAAGCAGTTACGTGGCTGAGTACGTGGGTGGGGGAATGGGGGAGCGGGTGAGTGAGTGTGTGGGTGAGGGAGTGAGTAGTTAAGTGGCTGAGTGGGTGGGTGGGGGAGTGGGTGAGCGGGTGAGTGAGTGAGTGGGTGAGTGAGTGAGCAAGCAGTTACGTGGCTGAGTACGTGGGTGGGGGAGTGGGTGAGCGGGTGAGTGAGCGGGTGAGTGAGTGAGCGGGTGAGTGAGTGAGCAAGCAGTTACGTGGCTGAGTACGTGGGTGAGAGAGTGGGTGAGCGGGTGAGTGAGCGGGTGAGTGAGTGAGAGGGTGAGTAAACTGGCCTTTACCCACAGCTAGTTCTGGCCGTGTACCCTGCAGATTTTGTTTGATTCCTGACTTTCCAAACACGGTGGAGGCGCATTGAAATCTCCATATGAAATTCGCCACTTTGCAAAAGTAAAATCTCATCATCAGCAGCATGTATTATAAAGGGAACAACAGTAGCAGTGGTATCGGTAGTAGCAGCAACATCAGTCTTGTAGTAGGCGACGTTTCTGGCAATGGCCCTTCTTCTGAACATGGGCTATTGCCCGAAACGTCGCGCATTGTATATGTTTCAAGCCACACGGATGAACGTGTAGAGTTATGTTGTTGTTGATTGTGGTTGTGCGCCAGTCCCAACGCAGCAGCGGCGAATGATGTATTCCCTTATGTCGGTATTCGTAGCAGCAGCAACTGCAGCTGTTTCTGTATCAGTAGTAACAGTCATAGGCAACAGTCATAGGTTGCTGTATCTACCTGTGTATAACGATCGATCTCAACAGGTGTGTGTCTCTCTCTACCTGTGTATACAGATCGATCTCGTCATGTGTGTCTCTCTCTACCTGTGTATACAGATCGATCTCAACAGGTGTGTGTCTCTCTCTACCTGTGTATACAGATTATCTCAACAGGTGTGTGTCTCTCTCTACCTGTGTATACATATCGATCACGTCATGTGTGTCTCTCTCTACCTGTGTATACAGATCGATCTACCTGTGTATACAGATCGATCTCGTCAGGTGTGTCTCTCTCTACCTGTGTATACAGATCGATTTCGACAGTACTTACTGGCTCTATTGTGTGTAGCGTGTGTAGGCATCAATGCCTACAAAATATTTATTTTTTTATTGGCGTGGGGTCGACAATTGTTGTAAACCCGTTGGATCAACTTTTTACCCGCACATCTGGGGGGAGGGAGTCGACTTTCTACAACTTTTTGATTCACGCCTTCTGAAAGGCGCTCTCATAATTTGGTTGACGGACAAACGGAACGCCGGGCTTTTTATGATCGATACCATCAACAGTAGCAGTATCATCCGCAATACCAGCAGGAGCAGTCGCAGCAGCAGTTGCATCAGCAACAATATAATCATCAATCGTGGCATCAGCAATAGCAGCAACAGCAGCAGCAGCAGTGGCATCGTCAGCACGAGCAGTGCACAGCAGCACCTGCAGCAGCAGAAGCAGCATCAGTATCAGCGGTAGTATCGGCAGCAGTAGTAGCAGCAGTGTTACGTACCTGAGAAATCGTATTCACCACCTGCGATCTCGAGGTGAGTGCTGTGTGTTTGTGTACTCTCCCTCTGGCGTAACGTGCAGGTCTATCTATGCATACGATCTCAACAGGTGTGTGTCTCTCTCTACCTGTGTGTACAGATCGATCTCAACAGGTGTGTGTCTCTCTCTACCTGTGTGTACAGATCGATCTCAACAGGTGTGTGTCTCTCTCTACCTGTGTATACAGATCAATCTCAACAGATGTGTGTCTCTCTCTACCTGTGTATACAGATCGATCTCAACAGGTGTGTGTCTCTCTCTACCTGTGTATACAGATCGATCTCAACAAGTGTGTGTCTCTCTCTACCTGTGTATACAGATCGATCTCAACAGGCGTGTCTCTCTCTACCTGTGTATACAGATCGATCTCGACAGGTGTGTGTCTCTCTCTACCTGTGTATACAGATCGATCTCGTCAGATGTCCGTCTATACAGGTGTGTCTGCCGAGACAGGTCTACCTACACGTCTATGTAAAGACAACTCTATCCGGACAGGTCGACACAAGTCTGTGTATCCCTACTGCTGTGTCTACAGGGCTATATATATATGTGTGTGTGTGTGATGTCTGACTCCCTGTAGGAACGCCTCCGCTCACCCACTGTACCATCGTCTCCCTCTGGACCGCTCTGCTGTTATGTAGCCCCGCCTCCCTCCTCCTCACCGTTACCCCAGTTACCTGCCTCCTCCACCTCACAGTTACCCCAGTTGCCTGCCTCCACCACCTCACCGTTACCCCAGTTACCTGCCTACTCTTCCTCACCGTTACCCCAGTTTCCTGCCTCCTCCACCTCACCGTTACCCCAGTTACCTGCCTCCTCTTCCTCACAGTTACCCCAGTTGCCTGCCTCCTCTTCCTCACCGTTACCCCAGTTACCTGCCTACTCTTCCTCACCGTTACCCCAGTTTCCTGCCTCCTCCACCTCACCGTTACCCCAGTTACCTGCCTCCTCTTCCTCACAGTTACCCCAGTTGCCTGCCTCCTCCACCTCACCGTTACCCCAGTTACCTGCCTCCTCTTCCTCACAGTTACCCCAGTTACCTGCCTCCACCACCTCACCGTTACCCTAGTTACCTGCCTCCACCACCTCACCGTTACCCCAGTTACCTGCCTCCTCCTCCTCACCGTTACCCCAGTTACCTGCCTCCTCCTCCTCACCGTTACCCCAGTTACCTGCCTCCTCCTCCTCACCGTTACCCCAGTTACCTGCCTCCTCCACCTCACCGTTACCCTAGTTACCTGCCTCCTCCACCTCACCGTTACCCCAGTTACCTGCCTCCTCCACCTCACCGTTACCCCAGTTACCTGCCTCCTCCACCTCACCGTTACCCCAGTTACCTGCCTCCACCACCTCACCGTTACCCCAGTTACCTGTCACCTCCTCACCGTTACCCCAGTTACCTGCCTCCTCCTCCTCACCGTTACCCCAGTTACCTGCCTCCTCCTCCTCACCGTTACCCCAGTTACCTGCCTCCTCCACCTCACCGTTACCCTAGTTACCTGCCTCCTCCACCTCACCGTTACCCTAGTTACCTGCCTCCTCCACCTCACCGTTACCCCAGTTACCTGCCTCCACCACCTCACCGTTACCCCAGTTACCTGTCACCTCCTCACCGTTACCCCAGTTACCTGCCTCCTCCTCACCGTTACCCTAGTTACTTGCCTCCTCACCGTTACCCCAGTTACCTGCCTCCTCCTCACCGTTACCCCAGTTACCTGCCTCCTCCACCTCACCGTTACCCCAGTTACCTGCCTCCTCCTCCTCACCCCTCCACCTCCATCCTCTCTCCCTCCCTCACTCCACCTCCTCCTCCACCCCCCTCCTCCAACTCCTCCCTCCCTCACTCAACCTCCTCCTCATCTCTCACTCCATCCACCTCCTTCCTCGTTGCCTGTCTCAACCTCGTTAGCACGTCGCTCTCATTTCAGTGTAGAGCAGGAAAAGGAGAGAGAGAGAGACAGAGAGAAACAAGTGATGAATGATTCCTGACATTCATCAGGATCTGCAGAACGTGAATACTGGATTGCCAAAAGCCACTTTACACGCCCTCTGTGCTGTGTGCTCGTGATGATGGGCTTAACTGGAGGGTCGCGGTCTCGTTGGCGTCTTACCCACGGGCACATTTACAACATCGGAACCCAGATACACGCATCACAATATGGACATTCGTTTATAATCTCATAATTTATTTGTATGGAGGATACAATGAATCAATTAACAGTCCGCTAACAAACGTTACATTATCAAAGGTTACGTATATTAAATAACACACGCTCTATATATTTACCATTCACAATTACATATACACAGAGTCTCGATAAATTGTGGACAATTTTTCGTTACGTAAAAAAATAAAATACAAGGCTCACAACCCCTTCCGTCAGTCCACTGCTGGATGAAGGCATTCTCCACGTGGTGCCAGTCGAAGCAGGTCGTTTGACCATACTTCACCGTGATATGCTAAGTGCAGGGAGAGAGGCGCCGGAATTCAAGGAAATCGAACTCGCTAGGATCGCCGGGGGGCTGGTAGCGCCGCAGCGCGCCAACCGCTGCGCCACCACTCCGTGGTGCAGCATTTGACCTTTAACCAAGTTAAAGGCGCAGCCCTGCAATCGCTCGCCCACTCCAGCCGCTGGCGGAAGCGGTCTCCATTGGAGAGGCTCTCGAGTAGCGGAGGGAGTTTTGGCCTACTCTTCCGCGGCCAGCGAGACGACGTGAAAGAGGCGCGCAAGCACCCACGCGGTTTGGGATTGTGGGCGTGGGAGACTGAAGATTCCTGCCCCCACGGTGTTCTCACCGTTACACCAGCGCTATGGCAGCAACGTCTTTATAACTGGAATTTGTAATAAAAGGTAACGTGGTGTTATAGTGGATAAGCAACTTTGGCACGCAACAAAGACAATCGATGAAGCAATTGCATTCCCAAATCAGAACCCCGTAATGATTAGTAAATATGACTCCTTGGCAAGAATGAATTCACCTCTGTGGCTAGAGAAAGGAGGCTACGGCTCCACCAGAGACTGGGTCTGTCTATGGGCAGGAGTCGGCAACCTACCGGCTTCGGAGCCACATGCGGCTCTTGAAAATCGAAAAAAAAGTGGTTCTTCTTGTTACTTTGGTTGCCTATCCCTGACCATGGAAGTCCAGTTCACCATGGAAGTCCAGTTTATCATGGAATTCCAGTTTACCGTGGGACTCCAGTTCACCATGGGAGTCCAGTTTACCATGGAAGTCCAGTTTACCATGGAAGTCCCAGTTTACCGTGGGAGTCCCAGTTTACCGTGGGACTCCAGTTCACCATGGGAGTCCAGTTTACCATGGAAGTCCAGTTTACCATGGAAGTCCCAGTTTACCGTGGGAGTCCCAGTTTACCGTGGAAGTCCAGTTTACCGTGGGAGTCCAGTTCACCATGGAAGTCCAGTTTACCGTGGGAGTTCAGTTTACCGTGGGAGTCAAGTTTACCGTGGGAGTCAAGTTTACCGTGGGAGTCCAGTTCACCATGGAAGTCCAGTTTACCATGGAAGTCCAGTTCACCATGGAAGTCCAGTTTACCATGGAAGTCCAGTTTACCATAGAAGTCTAGTTCACCATGGGAGTACAGTTTACCATGGAAGTCCAGTTTACCATGGAAGTCCCAGTTTACCGTGGGAGTCCAGTTTACTGTGGGAGTCCAGTTCACCATGGAAGTCCAGTTTACCATGGAAGTCCAGTTCACCGTGGAAGTCCAGTTTACCGTGGGAGTCCAGTTTACCGTGGGAGTCCAGTTTACTGTGGGAGTCCAGTTCACCATGGAAGTCCAGTTCACCATGGAAGTCCAGTTTACCGTGGGAGTCCAGTTCACCGTGGGAGTCCAGTTTACCGTGGGAGTCAAGTTTAGCGTGGGACTCCAGTTCACCATGGGAGTCCAGTTTACCATGGAAGTCCCAGTTTACCGTGGGAGTCCAGTTCACCATGGAAGTCCAGTTTACCATGGAAGTCCATGACATATTTAGTTGTTTAACCGAGCTGTTATTTTGTTTGCCGACCCCTGGTCTATAGAGTCCTCCGTTAGAGACTAGTCAATCGATTATACGGCATTTTCCACTGCCATATTTGACCCGAGCCAGCGTGGGGCATTCACGGTACGGATGTTTTTTTTTCTTCCACTGGATATGATTTTTTTTATTCACCACACCGAATGAGAAACCAGACTGTGCTACGCTGGCCTCACTCATTCAGCCAAACGCCCTGGCCGTCACATCACCACCACCACCAAAGACAAAGATCCCCCGTATAACCTCAACAGACTGTTGGGGCAAGTGCTGTTAGCGAGTAGCGCCTACGAAGGCCGGCACGGCACACGAGGGGGTGGGTGGCCAGCAGCACGCCCGGCTGTCTTTGTCTCCCCAGTGGCGATGTTTACTACACACCGCACCAGAGTCTACCCAGGGGGGGGGGGGGGGGGGGGGGGGGGAAAGAGGCCCAGGACCGGCGCAGATAATCCGTCACCGGTGTCAGCGACCGTGACCGCAGCGCCACCGCTCCCCGCCACCGCCACCAGCGCCGCCGACACAAATCGATCACCGCACAGCGGCCGGCCTCGGGTACCCGAACAGGGCGTAGTCGCGGTAATAGGTGGCGTAGAGGGCCCGCCGCGTGGCCGCGCTCAGCCGCGACAGGTACCGCCCGGCGAGCGACACCGACGACGCACGGCCGCGGCCACGGCCACGGCCGCGGCCGCGGCCGCCGCGGCGGCCGCCCGCGGGCTGCGGGTACGCGAGCGCGCGCGGCGCCCCAGCCCGGCGGAGGAGGATGGCCGAGTCGCGCCGCGCGCTCTCCAGCTTGCCCACGAAGCCGTAGGGCAGGGCGCAGGGCAGGCAGAGGCGGTGAGCCGCCTCCCAGTGGGGGTCGGCGGCGCCGGCCGGGCGCAGCGGGTCGAGCAGGAAGCGCGCGAACTCGCCGAAGGTGACGCCGCGGCCGGTGCGCATGGACTCGGCGCTCGCGTTGCCGCGGTAACGCGAGATGATGGAGCGGCCGACGGTGGACTGGGGACCCCACCCCGGCGGTCGTGGGGGGCGGGGGGGGGGGGTGAGAGAGGTGGGGGTAGGGGGGGAAGTGAGGGCACGTCTGTGTGTCTGTCTGTGTGTCTGTCTGTGTGTGTGTCGGGGGCAGAGGTGGTGCATCAGCCAGTCAACTCAGTCGGTCGACCCGTGGCACCTGCTGGGTCTGTCCCGTGACCTCCTGCCAGCGAGGGGCTCGACACTTCACTTCACGTGGCCTGAAGCGTGCACATGGCCTGGCACAAGCGCCGTTAGCGACGTCACACGCTAACGGCCCCAACAGTCTGGCAAGGCATACGGCCACCCACCCCCTCGTCTGCCGTGTCGGTCTTCATAGGTGCTCACTAACGGCACTTGTCCCAGCGGTCTGTTTGAGGCTGAGTAGACCTAGTGGAGGCCCAGGACCGGTTCAGACAATCGTCACTGGTGTTGACCGTGAGCGGGTCCATAGCACAGCGCTCTAACAACATCACTACCGCTCTCCACAGACACAAACACTAACACAACACAAAGATACCCCGTGTAGCCTTAATAGACTGTTGGGGCAAGTGCTGTTAGCGAGCACCTATGAAGGCCGTCACGGCACACGAGAGGATGGGTGGCCAGAACCACGCCCGGCCGCCTTTGTCTTCCTAGTGGCGATGTTTACAAACCACACCAGGTACTCATTTCAGGCCAAGTCAACCTAGGGGAGGCCCAGAACCGGTTCGGATAATAATCACTGATTTTGGCTGTGAGCTGGAATCGAACTCGGGTCGCCAGGATTCATAGCGCAGCGCGCTTACCGCTACAAAAAATGACTGACACACACACACACACTGACACACACACACACTGACACACACTGACACACACACACTGACACACAAAAAGACAAAGATAAAGATCCCCCATATAGCCTTAACAGACTGTAGGGGCAAGTGCTGTTAGCGAGCACCTATGAAGGCCGGAACGGTACACGAGGGGGTGGGTGGCCAGCACCACGCCCGATCGCCTTTGTCTCCCTAGTGGCAATGTTTACACACCGCACCAGGTACTCATTTGAGGCTGAGTCGACCTAGGGGAGGCCCGGGACCGGTTCAGATAATCGTCACTGGTGTTGGCCGTGAGCGGGAATCGAACCCGGGTCGCCAGGTTCATAGCGCAGCGCGCTAACCGCTACACTACCGCTCCCCACACACTGACACACACACACTCGTACCTGGTAGTAGGGGTTGGGTCGCTGAAGTTTATCGCGGAAGGCGGACACGATTCGCTCCATCGGCTCCCGCACGAACAGCACGCTCGTGTAGTTCTGCAGCCTCCACCTGCGGTAAAGGCGCAGCCCTGCAATAGGCAGCTCGCACCACTTGTACGTATGCATGTTGACCTTCTTTCGCAACGGTACGTAGCCGACCGTGCTAATCATAAGCGAGGAGTGTTGAGTCTATGGGCAGTGTTGAGTCTCTGGGCAGTGGTGTATGCATGCATGTTGAACTTCTTTCGCACCGTACGTAGCCACCCGTGCTAATTGGAGGTGCGGAGTGTTGAGTCTATGGGCAGTGTTGAGTCTATGGGCAGTTTGAGTCTATGGGCAGTGTTGAGTCTATGGAAAGTGTTGAGTCTGGACAGTGTTGAGTCTATGGATAGTGTTGAGTCTATGGGCAGTGTTGAGTCTGGACAGTGTTGAGTCTACGGGCAGTGTTGAGTCTATGGGCAGTTTGAGTCTATGGGCAGTGTTGAGTCTATGGGCAGTGTTGAGTCTGGACAGTGGTGTGTGTATGTTGAACTTCTTTCGCACCGTAGGTACCCACCCGTGCTAATGGGAGGTGCATGTGACGGTGGAATGCGACCGCACTCGTACAATGATGTTAACCATGAGGCCACACGTCCTTCGGGCGTGACTCACCATCCGTACGTCCGTCCCTCCAACACAGGAGGTCGGCCAGCCAGCAAAACTTGTTTTTTTTTTGTAAATAATAGGCGAGAGTAGGATGTAATCATAGTAATTAAAACTATTAACGTGCCGCTGTCGAGCAGTATGCTCCTACTGCTCTCAACGAGAGCGAGGAAACGAAAAACGGAAAAGCTAAACTAATTTTATTATAACAGAAGGTCCGCTGAGCTATGTGTAGTTCTTTGGCAGATGCGACCTGGCCACAAATGATAGCTTAACGAAGTGGGCTTACCATCATCACGTGGACATTTATAGCAGGCAAATACTCTAAACGTGTGATTTTTATTCTAAATGTGGAGGGGAAACCCGAAGGCCCTGGAGAAAAATCCACGCGACCACAAAAAGAGAGACACCGCACACTCCAAATACACAGCAGGCATCAGGGTAGGGATCGAACCCACGACCTCCTGTATACCAGGCGAGGTAGTTAACATCTCCTAGCCACCCTGATGATGATGAGAGAGAGAGACACGCAAACTCCAAATATACAGCAGCAGCAGGCGTCAGGGTCGGGATCGAACCCACGACCTCCTGTATACCAGGCGAGGTAGTTAACATCTAATAGCCACCGTGACGTCCCATCAACAATGCACTTTTTTATCAGGATTCAAAAACTAATTTCTTTGAAGCTGATTTTATGTGTTTAGCTTGTTGTCCTTCCCCCCACCCCGCGCCTACGTACGGTGCGAAAGAAGTTCAACATACATACAACACGCTTTTAAGATATGAACCAACAAGATCCCTCAGAGCCTCTGGTTCCGGTCTTTTAGTCGCCCCAAGACCCAGGAGCAAAACTCAGGGAGACGGCGGCCTGCAGTGAGCGTGCTCCTCGCCTGGGGAGCAGCTTGCCAGGAGACCTCAACGCCTCGCAATCGTTAAGCCATTTGAAACGAAATATGAAAACGTACCTTTTTGTAGCTGGCTTTTACTGAAAATTATTTCATAGTGTTGTATGTTTTTGTTTTTTTAACATGCCTTTGCTAGCAATTTATTATAACGCGTTTTTGTTCGGGCTGGAAATTGCTTTCTATTGCTCTTGCCATTAAGTCGTTTAAACAATGTTTTATTCTACCTGTACAGCACTTTGAATGGCATCTTTTGCACTAAATCGCGCTATAGAAATAAAGACTCGATCGACGGATCGAACACAACCACAAACGCCTCGCGAGTCGACCGACGAGCCGCTGCCCATCCCAAACCTTTGCTCGCTGGGCTCGAGAGAGTCGAGGCGCACCAACGCTCCGCTTGAGTGAGCCTCCTCCCTGGAGATGTCCTCCGGAGGGCCGGGATGAAGACCCTCCAGCACCATGAGGAGCCTCTTCCAGTTGGTGCAGCCCGCCTTGGGCACCTCGCAGTAGAGCAGCGAGAGGCGGTCGCTCACGAAGATGCGCGACGCGACGGACCGGGGAGGAAGGTGAACGATGGAGGACGAGGAGGAGGAGGATGGTGGTCGTGGAGGAGGGACGTTTTGCTTCAACGAGAACCTAGAGCAGGCGTCGTGAAGGAGCGCGAGCCTCTCCTCCTGGGTCTCCTGCTCAGGATGGTTATACTGCTGCTGCAGCTGGTGCTGCTGATGATGATACTGCTGATCATGATGTTGTTGCTGCTGATGATGATTATGTTGCTGCTGCTGCTGCTGTGGCCTCTGATCTTGAGTGTCCTGCTGTTGATGTTGTTGACGATGTTGATGTTGCTGCTGCTGCTGAATCTGTTCTTGCTGTTGCCGCTGCTTCTGAATGTCCCACTGCTGGTGGTGTAGCAGCTGCTGTTGCTGATAATGATGATACTGCTGCTGCTTCAGCAGCTGCTGATGATCATGATGATGACCATGATGTATCACCGGCTGATTATCCCGGGGCCTCCCAAAGTCCACCTCTGCAGCCCTCACCTCGATTCCGGCAGTGGAATCCACATCCGAGAGATGTGAACCTGTGGTGAGCAACGCACAGGGAACGATGATGATTAGGATGCTGATGACGATAATACTAACAATCATGTGGATGATGGCGACGATTATGATAACGATCGTCACGGTAACGGTGATGATGATGGTGACGACAATGATGCTGATGATGATGATAATGACTGAGGATGGTGGGTGCTGGTGATGAGGATGAATAATTACTGGGGAGCAGGAGTTGTAGCGGTTTGCACGATGCGCTACAAACCCGGCGACCCTAGTTCGATTCCCGCTCACGGCCAACACCAGTGACGATTATCTAAACCGGTTGTAGTCCACCCCTAGGTCGACTCAGCCTCAAATGAGTGCCTGGTGCAGTGTGAAAACATCGCCACGTTTAGACAAAGGCGGCTGGGCGTGGTGCTGGCCACCCACCCCCTCGTGTGCCGTCCCGACCTTCATAGGTGCTCTTCCCAACATCCGTTGCCCCGACAGTACGGTAAGGCTAAACGGAGGATCTTTATATTGCTATGATAATTTTTACGATGATGATAGAGATAGCGATGGTGACATCTCCCCCCCCACCCCCCACCTCTATCCCGCCAAACAGAAGCTGCTTGGCCATGCGGTGGCTGAGCATGCGGGCTCCATGACCCAGCCGACGCAGCCCTCGACTGCCGGAGGAGCTCACTGATGATGTAGCTGCACATGTAATAGCTACTACATATGTAGTTGCTACGACATATGGTTGTATATGTAGTAGCTACTACATATGTAGTAGTAGCTACTACATGTGATGTAGTAGCTACGGGACCCGCACTTTCAAGGGCCCCGCGCTAAATGCTTCAAGCTATCAATTCCGGTTCAGTGATTCTGCACTTGCTCTATTACTATAGTACTATACCACCTTAAACTTTTATGAACGACCGGGTGTTTAAGGTACGCAATTTGTCGTATTATCTGGCTGTATAGCAACTGAAAATATACAATTACTTTACTATGTAAGTTAAAAATGTGTGTTTTAATATTGACGTTTTTTTTATTTAGGGCCCCTTTATAACATATGCTACAGGCCCCGCACTAGTTTCATCCGGCACTGGATGGGGACCGTCCAGATCTCTCACTTATCTGCGAGCTTCTCACACTGCAATCCAGTCGGGTTCAAGCCAGGATGGATCGTAGGCAGGCCAGCCGGAATGTTTCAAACCGGCGCAGATGTTTCTGTAACAGGGGTCCACGTGTCACAAGCGTAGAGAAGGGAGGGCATGATTGTGACCGAGAAGACCCGAAGCTTCGTGTGGAGCTACAGGCCGGGTAGCTTCCACACAGCATCGTTATACAGCCGACGAAAAGATAATGCTGCCCGACTGATTCGGAGTGAGTCCTCTGCTGTCAAACCGGAGCTGCTCATTAGCACGCTGCCCAGGCATGGGAACGCCTCCACTTTCTCCACAACTGGCCCATCACCCATGGGGAGTCGCGAGGTAGAGTATTTGATTATGGATAATACACGGGCTGGCGGTGCTTTGTTTCGGTGGGGCTGATGGTAAGGCCCCGTCTCTTAATGGCACTCTCCAGGTTCAACAGTAGAGTTTCCAATTTCGTAGAGTGGGCAGCAGTTACCAGATCATCAGCAGACATAAAGTGGTTATTAACATTCACAACCACAAAGACAATGATATCCCGTATAGCCTTATCAGACTGTTGGAGCAAGTGCTGTTAGCGAGCACCTATGAAGGCCGGCGTGGCACACGAGGGGGTGGGTGGCCAACACCACGCCCAGCCGCCTTTGTCTCCCCAGTGGCGATGTTTACCCACCGCACCAGGTACCCATTTGAGGCCGAGTCGACCTAGGGGAGGCCCATGACCGGTTCAGATAATCGCCACTGGTGTTTCCCGTGAGCTGGAATCGAACTCGGGTCGCCAGGTTCACAGCGCAGCGCGATAATCGCTACACTGCCTATCCCCCCTAGAACACACGCACACACACACGCGCGCGCGTGTGTGTGTGTGTGTGTATTGAACACATACGCTACTAGAACACACACACACACGCGCACGCTTCTGGCACGCACACTCGCACATTCTAACATGTCTGTGTTGCCGAGTTGCAAGGTCGCATTTAATAACACGCAGCTATAAATGTAATGACGGTGGCGCTTCGTCGAGGATTCAAGGGGTTTTGCAATCTCCTCTGAAATCACGCCCACGTGCGCACGTGCATCAGCGCGTGTGGGGTTCGTGGGGAGCGGTGGCGCAGTGGTTTAGCTGATGATGATGATGATTATGCTGTTGTTGCTGCTGATGATGATGTAGCTCAAGCTGCTCTTCGTGTTGCCACTGCTGCTGATGATGATCTGGAACATTCTGATACTGGTACGGCAGCTGTTGTTGCAGCTGATGATCATCATCATCATCATGATGTATCATCAGCTGACGGTGATGCAACGGGGAGCTGGATCGCCGCTGTAGTGTTTGTAATCTCCTATAATACGATTTTGCAATCCCCCTACAAAATCACGCTCGCCTGCGCACGTCAACCAGTCGTGTACCAGTTCGTGATACACGACTGGTACACGACGGGTTCGTGGGGAGCGGTGGCGCAGTGATTGGCGCACTGCACTACGAACACGGCGACCCGAGTTCGATTCCAGCTCACGGCCCAAAACAGTGGCGAATAACTAAAGCCGCCCCTGGGGCCAACCCCCTAGGTCCGCTCAGCGTTAGATGAGCACCTGAAACGTGCTTGGTGCGGAATAGATCAGCACTGGGGAAACAAAGACGGTCGGGCGTGGCGCCTCTGGCCAAACCACCCCATTGTGGGTGTGGGTACCGTGCTGGCTTTCATCGGCGCACTTGCCCCAACAACGAGTGAAGGCTATACGCGTGGCTGGGGGGGGGGGGAGGGGGGGGGAGCACCTTTGTCTTTGTACGTGGTTCATGTCCAGGGTTGCGTTTACAACGTACCCGCATTTATGGTGCTTCTGTATTAGCAGTGGAGAACTCGATGTGCTATAGACAATAAAATACTTGTCGATACTGCGGCATGTATCGAAAACAAAGACAAAGATCCTCAGTATAGCCTCGAAATACTTTTTTGGGCAAGTGCTGTTAGCAAGCACCTATGAATGGCTGAAACGGTACACGACGAGGTGGGTGACCAGCGCCACGCCTGGCCGCCTTTGTCTCCCTAGTGGAATTTTTTTTAAGCACCGCACCAGGTACTAATTTGAGGCTGAGTCAACGTAAGGGATCCCCAGGACCGGTTCAGATAATCGTCACTGGTGTTGGTGGCCGTGAGCGGGAATCGAAGTCGGGTCGCCGAGATCGTGGCACAGCGACGACGCGGTGGCTATGAGATGTTAACTACCTCGCCTGGTGTGCAGGTGGTCGTGGGTTCAATCCCTCTCTCATCATCATCAGGGTGGCTATGAGATGTTGACTACCTCGCCTGGTATACAGGAGGTCGTGGGTTCGATCCCAACACTCCCACCTGCTGTCTCTCTCATCATCATCACAGTGGCTATGAGATGTTAACTACCTCGCCTGGTATACAGGAGGTCGTGGGTTCGATCCCTCTCTCATCATCATCACAGTGGCTATGAGATGTTAACTACCTCGCCTGGTATACAGGAGGTCGTGGGTTCTATCCCTCTCTCATCATCATCAGGCTGGCTAGGAGATGTTAACTACCTCGCCTGGTATACAGGAGGTCGTGGGTTCTATCCCTCTCTCATCATCATCAGGGTGGCTATGAGATGTTAACTACCTCGCCTGGTGTGCAGGTGGTCGTGGGTTCTATCCCTCTCTCATCATCATCAGGGTGGCTAGGAGATGTTAACTACCTCGCCTGGTATACAGGAGGTCGTGGGTTCGATCCCTCTCTCATCATCATCCGGGTGGCTAGGAGATGTTAACTACCTCGCCTGGTATACAGGAGGTCGTGGGTTCGATTCCAACACTCCCACCTGCTGTCCCTCTCATCATCATCATCATCATAGTGGCTAGGAGATGTTAACTACCTCGCCTGCTATACAGGAGGTCGTGGGTTCGATGCCGACCCTGACGCCTGCTGCTGCTGTATATTTGGAGTTTGCGTGTCTATCTCTCTCATTATCATCAGGGTGGCTAGGAGATGTTAACTACCTCGCCTGGTGTACAGGAGGTCGTGGGTTCAATCCCGACCCTGACGCCTGCTGCTGCTGTATATTTGGAGTTTGCGTGTCTCTCTCTCGCATTATCATCAGGGTGGCTAGGAGATGTTAACTACCTCGCCTGGTGTACAGGAGGTCGTGGGTTCAATCCCGACCCTGACGCCTGCTGCTGCTGGATATTTGGAGTTTGCGTGTCACTCTCTCTCATCATCATCAGGGTGACTAGGAGATGTTAACTACCTCGCCTGCTATACAGGAGGTCGTGGGTTCAATCCCAACCCTGACGCCTGCTGCTGCTGTATATTTGGAGTTTGCGTGTCTCTCTCTCATCATCATCAGGGTGGCTAGGAGTTGTTAACTACCTCGCCTGGTATACAGAGGTCGTGGGTTAAATCCCGACCCTGACGCCTGCTACTGCTGCTGTATATTTGGAGTTTGCGTGTCCCTCTCTCTCATCATCATCACAGTGGCTAGGAGATGTTAACTACCTCGCCTGGCATGCAGGAGGTCGTGGGTTCAATCCCGACCCTGACGCCTGCTGCTGCTGTATATTTGGAGTTTGCGTGTCTCTCGCTCTCATCATCACCAGGGTGGCTAGGAGATGTTAACCATCTCGCCTGGTATACAGGAGGTCGTGGGTTCGATGCCGACCCTGACGCCTGCTGCTGCTGTATATTTGGAGTTTGCGTGTCTCTCTCTCTCATCATCATCAGGGTGGCTAGGAGATGTTAACTACCTCGCCTGGTATACAGGAGGTCGTGGGTTCAATCCCGACCCTGACGCCGCCTGTGTGTGTGGAGTCCACGTCTCTCTCTGCCTCTGGCAGCGTGGATGTTTTTTCTCTGCGTTCTCGGGTTTCCCCCTCCGCATTTATAATCAACATGCGAAAAACCACTTCGTTGAGTTATTATTTATGGTTAGGTCGCTTCTGACAAATAGCTATATAGCTCAGTGGGCCATATCTGGTAACATGAAAATAGTTTAGTTTTAGTTTAGTAATCCATCACAGAACTCGCGGCATCGCCCCCGACTATGAACACTTGGCAGTACCCTCCTGATCGTGTCGCTTACCGACCCATCACCCACACCACTTTACCCCCACATCGCCATCTCTTCCCCATGACCATCACCTCCTTACCCCCCTTCACACCCTCCCTCTCACCCCCGTCACCTCACTCTCCCACCCCCCTCACCCCCTCACCTTCCCATCAGACACGCCTGACCCCCCCCCTTCCCCTCAGCCTTTCTCACCCTCCCCTTCAGCCCCTGCCATACTTCCCCTCAGCCAGAATCTGAATATGTATTTATACTGGAGAAATCCGATGAGCTATAAAGCTCTTTTTCACAAATGTCCAGCCCCTCCCACTCACCTATTAGCCCCTCCCACCCTTCCCCTCAGCTCCTCCCACTCCTTCCTTCAGCACATCCCACTCGCTCCCGCAGCCCCTCCCCTCCACGCCCGCTCCCCCCTTAGCCCCTCCCACTCTCCCCCTCAGCCCCTCCCCCCTCTACCCCCCCAGCCCCTCCCCCCATCTCACCTGTGCGCTGCAGGTAGAGGAGGCTCGCGCCGGCCCCGAGCGCGATCAGCCACAGGAGGCGCGCGCGGGGCCGCGGAAGGGTGCAGGGGTCACGCGCGCGCCGGCGGCGGCGGATCATGGCGATGACGATGGTGGTGATGATGGTGGTGATGGTGGTGAGGTTGGTGGTAGTGCTGATGATGGTAGTGATGGTGAGGTAAGATGGTGGTGAGGTTGGTGGTAGTGCTGATGATGGAAAAATGAGGCGGTGAGTTTGTTTGGTGAGTGTGTGTGTGTGGGTGAGCTGCGTTGGTGAGTGGTGAGATTAGGTGAGCGGCGTGGTGAGTGAGTGGTGAGCGACGAGAAGGAGGTGATCGTCAAGAGCGGACACAGCAGATCCCGAACCTGCAAATATAACCACACGAATCAGGGTCTCGGGTTAAGCACGCAAAGACAAAGATCCCGCGTATAGCCTTCAGCAGACTCTGGGGCAAGTGCTGTCAACGAGCCCTCGATGAAGGCCGAGGGTGGGCAGAACCACGCTCGGCCGCCTCTGTCTCCCTAGTGGCGATGTTTACACACCGCACCAGGTACTCGTTTAAGGCCGAGTCGACCTAGGGGGGCACCAGGAGCGGTTCAGATAATCGTCACCGGCGTTGGGAATCGAACTCGGGCCGCCGGGTTCGTAACGCAGCGTCGCGCTGACCGCTGCACCACCGCTCCGCACATGTAAAGACGAAGACACACACACACAAGGCACAACAACAGCCGCCATGCGCCACTAAGTGGCGGTGACGTCACCATGGCGATTATGCCAGGCTAGGTGCACGTTGAGGCCACTGAAGTGTCGAAGGCTCTCTGGCAGGAGGGCACGGGACAGACCGAGGTGCCATGGGTTGACTGAGATGGCTGGCAAATGCATGCACATACCCCCAGATTTACATACGTACCCCTAGATATACATACGTACCTCCAGATACGCATACATACCAATGTTTTCGTTTACGTGCCGCGTTTTATTTTAATTTAATTCGACAAATGACGTAACATTGCAAAGAAGTAACATTATAGACTGCCAGTACACTCACCACACGTAATAACCAGGCTACAGTCTACATTCTACATTAGAGACTGTCAATACACTCCGATTAAGAACCAGGCTACAGTATTTTTTAATTTGTATTAATTTTTATTAACTTTATTTTTTATTATTATTATTTGAATTCTATCTACGTGACTTTTACCCAAAGGACCAAAGAATAAGAGGTAACGACGACGACAAAAAAAAACAAAGATTAATTCCTGCAGTCACGAAAGCATCAAATCTAGTTTGACGACCGGAGCTGTTCAGTGGCTGCATTTTGCGATGACGGAGCGCCCCCTACAGCGTCAAATGTTCGACACCTGTGAAGCGTCGCGATGACGATGGTGCGATTAGGGCAAAAGAGATACCGCGATAGAAAACCATCGCCTCCAGGTGCGACCGTGCAAGACAAATCAAATCTTTGTGCCCCCACCTGACCGCTTGCCGCACACCCTGAGCCGATAACGTCGTTACTTGCGCCACTTGGTTCAAGAAGGTCGTGGCCCCAGAAGCCTCAGGGCCGGGAGACCTGAGCCTGGGAATGCGTCCGAGTATTCGGGGAACCTTTCACGAGCGTGCGTTTGTGACTCTATCTCTGGTGACTTCCATTCGGCTTTCATCCATCGAGAGCTATGCGGCACATCCACGACAGATCTATGCAGTAGCAGTACAGCAAGTAGGTTCACGAAAGACAATATCGCCATCGTCTGCCGCCAATGTTGAAATGGTCGGCCAAACTTCGCAATCGCGCGCGAAATTCCGCTCCTTGAAGAGCGACATTTTGAGACCACTCTCCAACTGTGTCTCTCTCCCTCTCTCCATTTCTCACTTTCGCTGTCTCTGCGTCTCTCTCTCTCTCACACACACACACAAACACACACACAGGCTGGCCATTGTGAACATTGAGAGTGTGTACCGAACTGAATAGTGAGCCATTGGCCGACTGCCACCCGGGCATATTTAATCCACCTGGTTGTATAGGGTCATCCTTGTTTGGAACATTTGGCAAACCCTATACCCTAACCAGAGCCCTTGAACCAACACAGACGCCCACGTATATGTGTGTGTGCACGTGTGTGTGTGTTAAGTGTCTGTGTGTGGACACGTGTGTATATATACACAAGTGTTGAACACACGCCACGTGCACACGAAGACAAAGATACCCCGTATAGTCTTAAGGGGCAAGTGCTGTTGGCGAATAGCACCTATAAAGGTCTGCTCGGCACACGATGGGGTGGTGAGGTCAGTACCACGCCCGGCCGCCTTTGCCTCCCCGGTGGCGATGTTTACACATCGCACCGCGTGCTCGTTTGAGGCCGAGTCGACCTAGGGGAGGGCCCATGACCGGGTCAGATAATAGCCACGGCATTGGGTGTTGTACGTACTAAAAGAACACCAAAGGAATATTAAATTATCTCGAACACAACTGTCGGCAGTGGCAGAACATGCTTGCTAACAAGGACACTCAATTGATTTTGATAACGTTGAAGTGTTATGCAAAACTAATTATTACTGGCCAAGACTAATTAGAGAATCCATCAGAAATTGAGAGAAATACCAATAATTTTAACCGCTCTGATAGCTACATACTTAGCGCAGCCTGGAAGCTTAATATTAAGTAATCCATAACACATTGCAATTCCTGATAGAGGTGTCACGTGCTAATTGGCTGATTACTGATATATTACATAATTACAATAACCCCCCAGCTCCGCCTCTGATCTCGAAACGTGATGGGGTTCAGCAATGATGACGTCATCCTTACACTATTTAAGACCGGAAGGCGGTGGAGGGCCTCACTATTCTGGCAAATCGCCCGAAGATGCTGGATGTAATTACCAGCGAAACGTCGTACTACTCAAATTGTAAATGTTGCGGATTCACTCTTCAAACACTGATTGGCCGTGTCGTGTGGTGGTAGGTTGCGACGCATTAATCCTCCCGCGATCTAAACCAAAAGCCTTTATTATGAATAATACTGGTGGCGAAAGCCTACGAACCCTATATCTCAAATGTACGCGACGTACGATAAGATATTGCTGGACAGTGACAAGAGATGCTTCATTCAGTGAATACAAGAGACGAGCCAAGCAGCGCCGAGTAGACCCTGACTAAGGACTAAAGCACTAAAGCACTAAACTATGTACTTGTATATCCATAATAGTTTTTTTGCCTTTTGTTTCATAATACATTTCGTTTATATAACACTTTTGTTGATTTTTAAAGTGTCACATGAACAAGACAGGTGACAATGTTATTATGTTAAGCAACCATAAACATATGAAAAGACCTAGGTTTACAATTTATGAGTAAAACTCTACTATCAACACAATATACATGGACGTAAAATGTAAGAACTTAAATATATTGGGAACAGTAGCCAATCAGTAGTTTTAATTGTCATACTTGAATTCAGCACATCAAAATTCATAATGAACAGCACATTTCATCTCTGAAGCAGACGTCTGAAGAATTGTAGACCAGTTTTTTCAGCTCACCTGTGTTCACGTGTCAGCCGAGGTAGCTCCCTCTCGGCCTTCCTCCCTTCTCCTCTCCCTCCCTTCTCCTCTCCCTCCCTCTCTCCTCGCCTCTTCTTTCCCTCTCCCTGACTCCGCTCTCCCCTCTCCCCCGCGACTCCTCTCTCGCGAATCCTATCCCGCAGCCAGACCCAGTTGAACCGGCAGCCCCGGGGGCGGATGAGTGGTTGAGAAGATGGGAGGGAGGGGATGGGGTGTGGTGAGGAGTGGGCTGATGGGTGGTGAATAGATGAGTGGGTGGGTGGGGTGAGCCAGAGCAATTGGATGAGAGGGTAAGTGGATCTGTCGGTGAGCGGGTCGGTGAGCGTGTGGATGGGTGGAAGGGCAGGTGGGTGAGTGGGAGGGTGGTTAGACGAGTGGTTAGTAGGTAGGTGAATGAGTGATAGGTGCTCGGAAACGGCACTTGCCCCAGCCGTCTATTAAGGCTATACGGGGGGGGTCGTTGTCTTTGAATTGTGGGTGATTGTGTAGGTGAATGAGCGATTGGGTGAGTGGGTAGGTGAGTGACTGAGTGGGTAGGTGAGTGGGTAAATGCGTAGATGGGGTGGGGGGGGGGGGGGGGCGGGAGGTAGCTGGGTGGTGGTCAGTGGGCAAGGTGAGCAGATGGGTGGGTGAGCGGTTGGCTGAGTTTGATGAGCGGATGGATTTCTGCTGCACTGCCCTTCGCTGAGACAGCACCGGAGCAGCCTGTGAACCGCCCGTTGGTGCATCGACTCCCTCCCGCACCTGCTTAGCTTTCGTGAGATCCGACGCGATGGGACGGCGGTTCCGGTGATTTGGTCATTGGCGGATTTGGCCACACGCCAAGAGAATAGTCCGTGCGCGCGTGATGCTGGAGGTCAAGGAATGCGTGGGGTTGTTCGTGATGGACGTGGAGGTGGAGGAGGTAGGGGGGGGGGGGGGGACGGGGGCTGGAGGATGGCGGAGGATGGTAATCGCAATTATCCGGGAGCCCTCTGTCAATCCACTGCTGGATGACGGCCTCGTCCTGCGCCGCGTCAGACACAGCAGGGGGCGCGAGGCGAGGAGGTTCGGGCGGGTGGGGTGTGTGGGGGGGGGGGGGGGGTTTGTTTGACCATACTTCACCATGCTCGTTCGTGCAAGGTGTGGGAGAGCGAACGCGCATGTGTAAGAGCCAGAATGTCGGTTATCGCCGTGGACCGGGAGTTGAACTCGGGTAGCTGGGTTCGTAGCGCAGTGCGTTAACCGCTGCGCCACCGCTCCACGCCGACCATGTCATTGACGTCTTTTATTTACCCAGGAGCACCTCACTGAGTCTTAAGGCGCTTTGACACGAGGGTGCTGCTACGTCGGGATGTTTGGCCCAATTCCATGACGAACGAGAGATTTTATTTCCCGTGTTGAATGGATCAGGAGAGTGACCCATTCGTAGCGCTCTGCACGAGAGGGTGGGGGGGGGTGAAACTCTGAAAGCCCCGCACAGGTGGATTCAGGAATTCCCATTCTGCACCGGCATCTCTTGACTCACATCGTGGCAGAAGTGGTGATAATGGTGTT